GGACTGTTTGTTCAACTGTGGTTTCTGTCTCCGACAGAGTCCAGGGGCAGATCTGGAGGACGGCGGTGTGGTGGACGTGAGCGGGCAGCCCGGGGGTCCCGAGGGCAGTGGGACGGTGTTGACCCCCCTCCAGCCCATGTCCCCTCAGCGTCAGGCCCTGCTCAGCAGCCGCTGCTACCAGCTGAGCGACACGGACTGCTGGGACCTGCCCGTGGACTACCCCAAAATCAAGAGGCTGGGGGACGAGCCGGAGCACAAGGAGGTAAGAGGAGGAGCTGGGGAAACCACGCCTCCGCAGGCCGCAGGAGGAACTGCACCTACCACAAACTGTCTGTCAAAGATGATCGGTCATTAGTGTGTCAACACTGACCCATCAACCAGGAGGTGGTCAGTAGTCAGGTGGTCAGTAGTCAGGTGGTCAGTCAGGTGGTGAGTAGTCAGGTAGGTGGTCAGTAGTCAGGTGGTCAGTCAGGTGGTCAGTAGTCAGGTGGTCAGTAGTCAGGTGGTCAGTCTACTGTATGTGTATATTATTTGACCAAAATATTTTTTCTTCAAAAAGAACTCTGCTCCTAACTCAACTGCAGTCTTAGAGCGCCCCTGTGTGTACACTAGTGGTACTGCAGCTGTTTATGTCCAGCAGTACTCAGTACAGAGTCACAGTGAAGGATCCAACGGTACATGTCCAGCTGTTGTGGACCAGGTCTGTGGACCAGGTCTGTGGACCAGGTCTGTGGACCAGGTCTGTGGACCAGACTCAGAGCCCGTAGTGACCCGCTGTAGTCGGCCTTTTTCTCCTCCCTCCACCAGGGGGACGACCTGGACCCCTTCCAGGAGCTGCTGGACGACCAGTGTTACCCGGCCCAGGTGACCCTGCCCAGCCCCAAACACCACAAGTTCCCGCCCTGCAAGGAGGGCAAGAAGGAGCTCATCACGTAAGACTCTGACACAGCTGTGCTGTGAGCGCCCCCTGTGGAGAGAACTGAGTCATTGATAATCACCTGACAGACGTGTGTGTGTGTGTGTGTGTGTGTGTGTGTGTGTGTCCACAGGTTGTCCAGTTGTCAGCTGACTGATAAGAACATCCGAGGTCTGATGACGGCAAACTCACAGGAACTGAGGTGAGTTTCAAAGAAAAACAAAAATGAAACAATAAAAAAACCAGACAAAAACATTCTCCTCTTCCAACCTGAGGTGCCCGACCCCCGGGTGTGACGGCTCTGGACACATCACGGGAAACTACGCCTCCCACAGGAGGTAAGGTTAAACACACACTCGCTCTCCCTCTCTCTCTCACACACAGTCATAACCCTGTCTCCTCCTCCTCCTCCTCCTCCTCCTCCTCCTCCTCC